ATGATTTGTTGTTGAAATGGGGGTTTTTATAATCCAAAGTCTGCCAGAATACGTGCAACTCTTGAGCATAGAATTGGCATCCTTCTTCCTTAGCTTGAACAACCTGGTAAACACACTTGAGCCCATGTGTCATCTGAACATGACACGCACAACTGTCCACCAACTCCGCCGCCCCATCTAACATCAGTTAGATTGCCTCAGAACTAACGACCCTCCTCAAAAACGTGCACAAAGCCTCAATTGCCCTACTCAGATTGCGATTCAGTGACTTGTGCAGTTCAATCACCACTTCCAAAATCTGATGTTCCATGTAGTTGTGGTTCTTCGCAAAACAAGTGTCAATCGCTCCTCTACCAGACACAAGGAAAGTCTTGAATGAAGAGTGGGATGACTCAACTCTATTCGAGCTCGTGTTACCAAGATGAAATACATGGTTCGTGTAGCACTTTGCCCATATTGTCTGATGAGTCAACCACTCACCTCGCACGTAGGCGAGCATATCTATGTTCTTCTTTGTCCAGACCCTCTCAAACTCATTAATCTTTTGAAGAAAACTCTCATGAGTCCAACTCCATGCAGCTTTGTAGATATATTTCTTCCATACCACTTGTGCTACCTCTCTTTGTGCAATTCCACCCAGTAATTGCTCAAAATTTTTCTTCACACAGTTTTTGACGTGCCATAAACATAGTAGGTGGACAGTATGTGGGAGAGGGAAGACCACAGAAACAGGAGCAAGCAGACCACCTTCTTTGTCTGTCACAATGACATTCGGAACCGTATCACCGAGCAACCCTTTAATACATCGCAGCAGCCACTCAAATGATTCCTTTGTTTTCTACTTAATAATTTCACATGCAATGTTGAAATTCTTCTCGAATGGAGTAACCCCAATAATCTCAACCCATGGCCAGCCGTACCTGTTCGTCTTGTAGGTCGAGTCGATGAGGATGACGTACGGCCATGGATGCAACATCTGAATGGACGTCGGGTGGGCAAAAAACATATTAGTGAGCACATTATTAGCGTCCTTTTGCAAACAGATATGGTACCCATGTTGTTCAGCTCCGTGAAGCACAAATTGTATTGCATCCAATCTTGTCTTGTAATTTCTGTTGTACATCTGTTTGATATCATGATGCACATCCCCTTCAGTATTGAGTGTCGTCTTCTGCTGATTTGGTCTCACCCCCGCCTTCCTCATTAATCTTAACCTCTCTTTTTTAGCCTCACTAAATTGTTTGTTGTGTCGGTGATGTTCTGGATACAACACATTTTCATGATTGTGAAACCCCTATTAGCTCCAGTTACACGACTTGTCACTCCTACTATGACCCATGTTTTTGGACCATTCTCTTGCCGTACTTCCTTAATACATATCTGAAACTGGCAACTAGTACCCTTCGAACTAATATTCCCACGCGTCTCCTTCTTAGGTTCTGGTTTATAAGACTTAACGATCCTACTGTTGATGTCGCAAAACATACATAGCGCAGTAACAGGATGTAGTGCTGCAGTATTCGGTTTCCATGCTCCTCTAATAATAAAGAACCACACTCTTGAGCGATTGCTTTTGCAGCCAACTTAGCTAACTCCACACTTGCATAATGGATTCCATTATCAAATTCATGTGTGTAATCATGATCGATCGGTAACCACTTTGACATTTTTCCTACAATTACAATATAACACATCAATATTCATGTGAACCTAAATGCTAATTTCAAGTCTTCACCGCTAAATTCAACTCTTAAACGCTAAATTCAACTCCTAAACTCTAAATTCAATACTTACACGCTAAATTCAACTCCTAAACTCTAAATTCAAGTCTTAAACGCTAAATTCAACTCCTAAACTCTAAATTCAATTCTTACTCGCTAAATTCAACTCTTAAACGATAAATTCAACTCCTAAACTCTAAATTCAATTCTTACTCGCTAAATTCAACTCTTAAACGCTAAATTCAACTCCTAAACTGTAAATTCAACTCCTAAAATCAAATTTTTCCGAAAAATTGCAAAGACAGACAGCGAGCCTAAATTTTCTGGCGGCCGGAACCTGGTTGGGCCGAAAATTTCTGGAGGGCGGAGCCAAGCTGAGCCGAAAACATTTTGTGGCTCAGCCTAGCTCTGACCACAAATTTTCGTCGGCCTAGCCTGGTTACGGCCGCCGGAAAATTTCGGCCAAGCCAGATTCCGGCAGCCGGAAAATTTTGGCTTGCCGTCTGTTCGTTGGAAATCATCAAAAAAAAAAAAAAACTACAAAAAATTGACGCACCTACTTAGTGATGATTCATGGATGCGTGTCCGCAGTTTATGTCGAGGTTCGGCTTTCCCGATGATTTTCCGGCGAGCGTCGATTTTTTCTGATTCAATACGTTTTTGAAAGTTGGATATGTTGTAGATTGTGAAACTCCTTAACCAAAGATGTACATATATACTTTTTTTTTGTTGGCGGCTAATAGCAATTTGGTTGGCGGCAAATAGCAAGCCCTATTTTTTGGCCCTGTATTTTGCTCACCTAGAAATTTGTAGAGCCAATAGATCATGATGAACTCGTTCATTTTGTGCAAAACTTTTTAAAAAACGACTTAAAAACTATGAAGATACCATATGTTATGCAATTGGTAAAGAGAGGCAAAAAAAATTCTTAAAAAATATTAAAATGGATCTCATTTTGTAGAGCACAACGACCTTATTCAATTTGTGCAAAAAATTGAAATCCGAGTTAAAATGAAGAAGATATGAGCTTATTAACAAAATAAAAAAATGACTTTAATTCTACACCTTTAGATCTGATTTTCTGGACTCATTTAAATCTGATGGGTGAGATTTGGTTACTCATTGATCGGGTTACTGACTGTATCTATAGTCAATCCATACCCCTTCATTGTGAGGAAAAAAATTCCAAAATACATATGTTTTAAAAAAATTCTCAAAATACACACGTTATGAAAAATATTCCCAATCTACGCATGTTTGGGCCTTCAGCGCGACAGAGAAATGCGGGGGTTGCATCACCGCAGGAGAGAAGAGTTGTGATTGCATCACCACTATAGAGAAAGGCGGTGAATGCTTCACCGCGTTACCCGGACGCTGTGAAGGTCTGACCTGCGTCAAAACTTTAAACAAACGTAACTTTGTGCTCAGTTATCCGATCGTAGCGAATTGGTTTTTTATTCTGCATAACTTTTCGAGATCTTGCAAGCCGCAAACGCCATATGCGTTGTTTTCCCGCCTTCGTCCTAAAAAAACGTCGTTTGCTACCCCGAACGAGCCTTTTTTCAATTTCGTCAAACTTTGAACGATCATAACTTTGTGCTCCGCAATCCGAAAGTCATGAAATTTTTTATGATTGCACGTAATTTTTTAAGGACTAAAATTTTTAGTACGAGAGAATTTTCAAAAAAAGAATTTATTTTGGATATACGGGGTTTTGGGAATAACTTTACCGCGTTTGTGGCTTGCAAGATCTCGAAAAGTTATGCGGAATCAAAAAAAATTTCTCTACGATCGGATAACCGAGCACAAAGTTACGTTCATTTAAGCGGTGATGCAATCAGTGCCCAATCACCGCCCTCCTCTCCTACATCACCGCCTTTCTGCCGCGGTGAATACCCAAACATGCGTAGAATGGAAATTTTTATCATAACGTGTGTATTTTGAGATTTTTCTTGATAAAACATGTGTAAAATTCCTCATTGCAATTAAGAGAAGCAATGTGCGGCTGTACTGCGCAAGCTAAAGGAAGCTTCCATAATATTGAGATGTATGGGACTGGATAGTGTGACAACACCCCTTGTGTTGTTATTCTAACAACACTAGCCTCCAACCAATAGGAATTTAGGATTGTGATGACTTTTTAGTAGATGAGTTGACCTAGTGTAAAATCAAAGCAGGGGTATAATTGTCATTATGAAAAATCTGTTTAAATAATAAAAAACATAAAAAAATAAAAAAAATATTTTTATTTTCTGCCAAAAAATTTGGTCGCCGGAATTCTGCCACCGGTCGCCGGTCACCGGAATATGCTTTTTTGTCGCCGGAATATGCTATTTTGTCATCGGAATATGCTCATCGTCGCCGGAATATGCTTACCGGCGTCGGAATATGCTTACCGGCATCGGAATCTAGTCACCGAGGCCGGAATATGCTTATCGGCGCCGGAATCCGGTCACTGACGGTCATCGGAGTTTGGTCAACGAACTTTGTTGACCGGTCAACGGTCTTCGTTGACCGGTCAACGGCGAACGACCACCGGATGTTATGGTCTGCATTGTGAGATTTATGGTTTGGTTTCTCATATTTTTGTATGTCTTTTGTGGTTTGCTTTATCGTGTTTGTGGTTTGCATTAAGAAGTTTCTGGTTTGCTTTATCATGTTTGTGGTTTGCATTGAGAAGCTTCTGGTTTGTTTTCAACAATTTTGTGGTTTGCATTGAGGGGTTTCTGGTTTGTTTTAATATATTTGTGATCTGCATTAGGACGTTTATGGTTTGCTTTCAAAAATTTTGTGGTTTGCATTGTGAGGTTTCAGGTTTATTTTAATATATTTGTGGTTTGCATTAGAAGGTTTCTGGTTTGTTTTTTTGTGGTTTGCTTTTCCGTGTTTGTGGTTTGCATTAGGGTGTTTCTGGTGTGCTTTTCAAAATATTTATGGTTTGCTTTGTGAAATTTCCGGTTTGTTTTAGGAGACTTGTGGTTTGTTTTAGGAGGTTTCTAGTATGCTTTTTTGTGGTTAGTTATATCGCATTTGTGGTTTGCATTAGAAGGTTTTTGGTGTGTTTTAGAAATAGTTGTGGTTTGCTTTCTGGTGTTTCTAGTATGTTTTAGGCGATTTGTAGTCTGGATTATGAGGTTTCTGGTGTGCTTTATAAACATTTGTGGTGTGCTTTATGGTGTTTCTGATATGTTTCAGGAGATTTATGGTTTACATTACAAGGTTTTTGGTGTGTTTTATAGTATGTTTTATTGGATTTATCAAAATGCCTCAGTCTCTCTTTCAGTGATACAGAAGCAGTCTCGTTGAGTTAATTTTATTTCCCCCACAAATTAGTGAAACATAACACATATTTTCCATCTCCTTCATCAACATCATCAACTCAATCACTGCCAGCCTGCCATTATGAAATGGTGATACATTTACACCAGCACTAAAACCCGAAATCTTAACAAGCAAAGTAGTGGCACCAAACATGTTTGGTGTATCAATCCCATTAAGATAAGCTTTGATCTCAGGGATCCCAGATCCTGCTGCAGTTGGTGCAAAGAACACACACAACACAGCTGCAAAAGCAGTCAACACCAGATTGCTTCCAGTCATAAACGCTAACCCTGTCAAATACCTTTCTTCCTTGATCAAGTTGACAACAGCCAGAATCTTGTACCCAGCAATATTCTCCACAGCAAGGTTAATGAGAGTGGCAATTAAAACTGTCAACCCTCCCACAAGGAAAGCCAGTGACCATTTTAGGAACACATATTGCAGCACTTGGACTTTGGATCTACTCCTCCAATCATGCTTAAACATATCATTCTCATTGATCTCATAGTCCAAGCTCTCTATATGGGACATCTTAGTGCCAACAATTGCCAATGGGGTTGAAGAGAGTGTTCTGTTTCTCTTCAGGAGTGGCTCCTGGAGTGTGCTGCTGTTGCTCTCTGGATCTCTTTCTTCCATTGCTGGTGCTCGTGTTTCTGTTGGCAATTGGGGTGTGCAGCAATGGTCTTCCTCCATTGATGGAGCTTTCTTCCTTGATCAAGTTGACAATAGCAAGAATCTTGTACCCAGCAATATTCTCCACAGCAAGGTTAATGAGAGTGGCCTACTTGGATCGAGAGTGGGAGGTGCTCGGGAGCAGGGTTTTGGGAAGATGGAAACTACAGCAGCAGCAGGAAGAACACCACCGCCGCCGCCGGCGATTGAGCGGCCGCCGAACAACCGCTTCCACTGAATCCTAATCATCCGGTAAATCCTCAACCTCGCCGCCGACATGCTCAAAACCACGCCCTTCCTCAGCTTTCTCAGCCTCTTCCCGATCCTCACCTTCAACTTGCAGAGCTTGGTCTGGCAAAACGACGCGCTCCGCCGCGAATCGTCGGCGCGTTGCATCATCTTGTAGATCAGGAACTGAGCCCGCCGCGAATCGCCAGTGGCCGTGCCAGTCGTTGACCTCCCTCTGTTCCGACTCCGGATGAAGTAGGCCGGAGAACACCGCTCTCCTGGCTCGGAGGCGCACGAAAACCTGGGAGAGAGAAGGGAACGGGTGGGGTAATGAATCATTTAATTAAATTTTTAATTTACTACCTTTTGTGAGTTCCGTTTTTACCCCTGTTGTTACTATAACAACACTATGAGTGTTGTTATAGTATCCGGACCCGAGATGTATATACGGTAGGATTATCTAATTATTGATTTTTAATACATAGCTGTAGTGAAGTTACCATTCTTAGTAATCCCAATCCGATTAGGTTTTGGTTTGCCGCCTCCTCCTGGGACACGGTCAGTCATCTCTGTGTTATAAATAAACTACCCCACGACAGAATGAGAGCATCGCTTAACCATTAGCCAATTAGGAATCCACAAGCAAGCAGCAGTAGTCTAGTGATCGCAGCCTAATTAACTATGTCGACGACGTCGGGGCCTTATGCAAAATACTATTGCCCGCCGACGGAAGGATGCCCGCCGCATGAGGATCCGGCATGGGTGCATATCTTCATGTGGAGTTGCTTTATCATCTTCATCCTAACGCTCAATTTCGTCATCTTCTGGATGGCCTGCACCAGGCAAAGCCAGCAGCCCCTGGGAGACCTCGAGCAGGGTCATCGTCGTCCACAACGCCCTCCTGATCATCAGCAAGAGAATAGTGGTCACAATTATGCTGATTACAAGGTCAACGTCGGCGTGGACTTCGTTCGTTGGAAAGCTGCGGGGTTAGGGTTGAGGGACGAGGTTCTCACGAAAAGTAGTGGCCGTGGCAGCAGCCTCGCCCAAGAAGAAGAAGAGTGTGTGATTTGTTTGGGGGAGTTCGAAGATGGGATGGAGCGCAGCGTTCTTACTGTGTGCAGCCATTCTTTTCATAAAGTGTGTTTGGAGAGTTGGCTCGTTATAGGCGATCGTAGGATCAGCCCTACTTGTCCCCTTTGTCGCGCCTCCATCGGACCGCCATATGCTAGGGTTCGTACATGAATGTTTTCTTGGCGCGGTTGTAAGAATGCGGTGTAATTTCGTAATACTGTATATGCTTTGCAAAGATTTTTTTTTTTTTCCTTTCTATAGAAGGTATATGAGTTATGTTGAAATTGAAATTGTGTACATACTATTAAAGGAAAAATAATTACTTTAAATGTGTTAGTTATACGTCATAATCAACTTCGTTTAATTTGAAAATCATGTATACGACAAGTACATGAATGTTATATAGGCACTGTAATAAGAACATGTGTAATCTCATTATATTGTATTTGGTTTGCAAAAATTGTAACTATTTTGTATTCAAGGTATATGACTCATGTTGAAATTGTGTACATACTGTTAGGGAAAAATTACTTTCATACTTACCATCCCGAGAATTTGGCAAATTTTACATTACTGGTATGCAAAAAATGTTATTTATTTACCTAAATTTTGTTACCAAAAAAAAAAAAAGAACTTTCAAGCCAAAAGAACAAGTAACATAAAAAAAGAAAAACTGGAAAAACATAAAACCCACACCAAGAAATCAATTTTGATTAGAACAAAAACCCCAAAAAGTGACCTCGCAGCCATAACGAACACCTAACAAACACAGAGGAGAAAAACAACTCGCTCTTTCTCTTCGCCCCATATTTTCCCCGCCCACCGCCACCACCTCCGCCGCATTCCAAATTTCCCCCCACCGTCTCCGCCAGCCGGAGACCACCCTAATTACAAATAGAGAACCATTTTCAGATAAATTCGTCCATTAATTCTTCTTCTTTCTCCACTCCTCTTTGTTAAATTAAATAATTTTGTTCATCAATCAATCAAGCAATCAATTAGCCGACGGAGACAGAGCTTCTGGTACACGAGGCGACAAAAAACGGACGGTTGAATGGCCGCCGGGCCAACGACGTTCCGACTGAGTCAGCTCCGCGACATATTCGACCGCTTCGACATGGACGCCGACGGCAGCCTCACCGTGCTAGAGCTCGCCGCCCTGCTCCGCTCCATCGGCCTCAAGCCGGCCTCCGGCGACCAGATCCACGTCCTCCTCGCCGACATCGACGCCAACGGCAACGGCTCCATCGAATTCGACGAGCTTGTCTCCGCCATCGCCAACGACATCGACGAGCAGACGCTGGTGAACCAGGACCACCTCCTCGAGGTCTTCCAGCTGTTCGACCGGGACGGCAACGGCGTCATCACGTCGGCCGAGCTGGCCGGCGCCATGGCCAAGATGGGCCAGCCCCTGACGTACAACGAGCTCAACCAGATGATGAAGGAGGCTGACACAGACGGCGACGGCGTTATTAGCTTCACGGAGTTCTCCACCGTCATGGCCAGGTCCACCATGGAATCTTTGGGGATGGCTGCTGATCCTTGATTGACTAACTTGTTTTTTTAGATATAACCTAGGGTTTAATGTGATCAGATGTGTACTTCATTTTAAAAAAGGATTCCATACAATTGAAGTTATTAGTTTGTCAATTTATCAAGAATCATTGTTCATAACATACCCCCCAAATAGAATCATATCCATTTCAATATTCTGAGCGACCTCTTCAATAAGTTTATCATGATCTGCACTCACTATGTTCTTGGCATCCATAAACTCTTCGTTGAATTTTCTACATATTCCTTTTTCCTCAAGTTCACGGCAACGTTCTTAACCCAGCATCAGCATACTCATTCATATGCTAATCTCTAGTTGACTCCTCAAACTCTCTTCCATCACTTATCAAGTCTTTCAAACATGAAATTGAGTGAACCAAGACAGCATATAACATTTAGCAGGGATAAAATTATATATCACCGGAGCAATCGTCATATGCAAATATAATCATTGGTGATTCATGCTTCGATTTTCATTTTGTATTATCAATAAGTAATGTAGAAATTTTTCCAACTTATAAATGAAGGATAATCTTCAAAACGCTCCACCAGATGGAGGCCAACTTGGGGTACTGATACGAGCACGGAAGTTGTACCCGTAGTTATCAAATACACAGCTTTAAGAACGAACAATAGAACGGTTGTTTAGGGGTTTTTGTTTGTAGGGATAGGGTGGAATTGAACGTGCGATCTCAATATGAGTTGGGAGAAGGCTCAACCAATATGAAAAGATAGAATCTCGACCACTATCAAGGAGAAAACTTGATTGATACAGATAAAAGTTCAAGCCTCAAGCTCAAAACTAAGGTAAAAATCAATATTATGCTAAAAACTAACCATAAAACCCGAGTTCCAGCCTTTATATAGATATGGACAATTAAAAATAACAAAAACAACTTTAAACACAAAATCCCGTCAGTCAAACCCGAAACCCGGGAAAAATACCCGGTCGGGTGTTTCGGGCCACGAACCGGGGAAAATCACTAACAACAATCCTCTGTCTCTTCCTCATTTGGGCCTAATTGCACATATTTTGCCCCCGGTTTGCTTAGATGTTTGTGCCAAATTCTCTCATTAGAGTTTGGTTTTACGCGAGGTTCTTCGTGTTTGAGTGCTTTTCATGAATAACTCCTCGATCATATTACCATGGACGACCCAATGGGAGATGTGCAACCTGCATTGGAGCAACATCACACAAATCTCATCTGCATAATAAAGTAAAAATCATGAAGTAGGCTCGAATTTTTCATGGATGCATTGATGTGGTTAGCATGGTCAGTACCACAATAGAGGTTTAATTATATTTGTTCAGAGACTAAGATTTCGAGTATGTTGGTTTTAATGTTTTTATGGCATAGAGTAAGCACGGAGAATAACATTTTCCCATCGATTTTTTTATTGCATTGTTTATAATACTTATACAAAAGTAAGTATTTCAAATAATTCAAAAAATTAGAATTTACATTTTATTCAAATAACATTCTGACTCGTCATCAAGCTAGTTTGTATATATATGATTTTATATTAATGGGTTAATACCCTAGTTTTGCCCGAAGTTTGACGTAAGTGACAGTTCTGTCCTCATTTTTCAAATAAGACATTTATGGTCTACTTTTGAAATATTGGACAAATTTTGCCCAAAATTTTGTTTGACCATTAATATTGACGGTCAAACACTATTCCGTTAGTGACTCACCAAAAATCACTGATGTGGCACCACATCATTAAATAATATCACTTTAATTTTACAATTCAATTAAAATAAAAATTAACAAATTAAAAAAAACCAAACTTATCATCCCAAAACCCCAAACCTGTCCTCTTGCTTCACTTAATTTTAAATAAATTTTATTATTAAAAAGATAATAACATTAAAAAATCTACAATCTTATCCCTTCCCCTCCCTCTTCTCTTTCCAAGCAATTTCAGATCCGCCAGCCTCTCGTGAGGAAAGCTTATCCCAACGAACTCTGGCATCCTCACGAGCGCCTAACTTCATCGCCAATCTTGGGAGCCCTCGAAAAGCACTTCTCCGGCTGGGGTTTAAGTCGCGAAACTCTTCCGCAACTCCGACGTTCTCGATGTTGTCGACTTCGATTGGTGATACCAGCTAGAAACGATGTTGACTCGGTGGTTGATGTCTGAGTCACGAGTCTGCTCTATCTCAACTCGAAAGAAGGGTTGCCCCAAAGCCCGATCTGTGATATGGGCAGCCTCCTTCTACTTGAAATCATTCTATTTTTTGCGATTCCTTCTACTTGCTGGATCGTCCCTTCCTCTCAGGTCCAAACAATTCCTCATGTGGAAAGACTCTAAAACTGCTTGTCTCGTCGTGAAACCCTTTAGATTCATCCTACCAATGAGGATTCTACAGATTGGGTTCTAGTTTGCTTTGGCATCTGCCTTCTCTCCCCGGCATTTCCTACGGCTTTGATATCATTCTTGGAAATCATCTTTCTATTTCCTTCTTTCCATAATAATTGACTTGTTAATTTGCTAGGGGATCGAGAGAATGAGGTGGATTTGTGGTGGTGAGGCATTCTCGATAAGAGAAGGGGAGGAAATTATTGATTTTTTTCTTTTAGGAAATTACTAAATTATTACATAAGAGGGGATTTTTTTTAATTTGTTAAATTTTATTTTAATTGAATTATAAAATTAAAATAATATTATTTAGTGACGTGGCATGCCATATCAGCGAGTTTTGCTTAGTCGCTAACGGAATAGTGTTTGACAGTCAATATTAACGGTCAAAGAAAATTTTAGGCCAAATTTGTCCAATAATTTCAAAAGTACGCCATAAATGTCTTATTTGAAAAATTAGGCCAGAACTGTTACTTACGTCAAACTTCGGACCAAATCAGGGTATTAACACTATATTAATCGAAAATCCACCGCTCTTGAATATAATTAGTACTAGTGGTAAGAGGACATATAGATTAGTGATCTAGCAACACCTAATAAAGAAACACAGTCATAAGAAAGAAGCAAACAAAATGTGTGAAACTAATCAATCAAGAAGCCTCTTTGCTTAGGCACAAAAGCTAACACCACGTAAGCATGAAACACACTTCATCTGGGACTGCAAGGGATTGAATCGCATCTTTAGAAATCTCCATAAGATGATGATGTCATTATCAATCTGTATGCCCACATCTTTCAAATCACTCCACCACTTACCACCAGTAGAAGCATCGTCGCCAACGCCCTGCACATGTGTTGTTGGCCTGTTGCAGATGCAAACATACTTTATAATCAGTACTCGTCGCCACCGTACGTGTATATACATGCATATTTCGATTACGAATTTGTACCAACAATTGAGTGATCACATGTATGTACCTCGGAAATGTTGTCTGTTAAGTGAACGAGATCGCAGCTTCGGAGATTTACAAGCGGAAACTGGTAAATTTCAGCGGTGATCTCAATGGTGAAGTCAACCACCAAGCGAGAGGATGGAGATGATGTTGATAGGCAGCGGCGGATGGACAGTAGTAACTTGTCCAGGTAATCGTGGCAAGTTGCAGAGACGGTTGATACCCTGAATTCTACTAATGGAAGCGGAAGAAGCAACGGCAGCCTCTTCGAAGCAGCGGCTACGAATCAGTGGAACGACACTTCTACCAGCCATAGCAAGCGGAGTGGAAGCCGAGTTAGCACCAGAAGGATTGATCTGACGCTCGTGTTGAATCACCAAAGAGAACACACGAGTAATCGGCGAAAGAGGCTCCATGAGCAAGATCTGGCTTCTGATTTGAGAGAAAGTGTCGTTGAGGCCTTTGAGGAACCAGATAATCTTATCAGACTGCTGGTATGTAGGGACTACGGTGAGCGCACCGCAAGAACACCTCGGAGTGCAGGAACAGGTAGGCAACGGCCTAAGAATGACCAGCTCATCCCAGAGATCACGAAATCGAGTGAAGAATTCGCTCACTGTAGCAGTTCCTTGCTTGAACGAGAAGACCTCGTCCTGGAGATCTGAAAGCCGAACCAGACTGGCTTCGCTGAACCGATCTTGTAGATCTTTCCAAACGTCGACCGCAGAATCAAACTAGAGAACGCTATGAGCGATATCTGGAGCCAAAGATCTGTAGATCCAACCAAGCACCATTACGTTGCATCTCTCACAAGCTCCGTGAAGAGGATCGCCAGGTGATGGCGGAGTAACTGCAGGATCGATCAGAGAAAGCTTGTTCTTCGCCAGAAGCGCGAGATGCATCGATCTCGCTCATGCGTAGTAATTGTTGTCGTTGAAGACAACGGTTACCAGAGCCGATGACGGAATATCGCCGGGATTTAGGAAGTACGGATGGCTTGGATGGAGCAATCCGGAAGGAGGGACGAACGAGAAATTTGCCGGATTCGCCTGAGTCAATTGCGCCGATTGATTCGCCATGAGAAAGCAGTTGTGAGAACAAGAGGAAGCAGAAGTTTCGAAGAAAGAAAACCCTAGAACGAAAAAGGAAAAAATAAGAGAGATCAAGAAATTGACTCCTCTGATATCATGTTGATATCTTGGAGAAAGAAAATGTCTACTTGTATTATTAATCAAAACCGTAAAAATACATTGTCTTATTTACATGTATATATACAAATTGAATATTGTAAAATAACAGAACAATACTTCAATAAACAAACATTACAATTTAGTCCCTACACTACTAATTCGTTACAATAGATTCCTCCAACAGAAGGAGAAGAGTTGTGCCATCTTTCTTGACATGAAGCTGTTGGCCCTATCTTTTCCTAATCTTGGACAACAGGCCGGTTCTGGTCGCTGTCTTTGTCTGAGTTTGTGGAGCGAAGGATGTGGTGGATGATATCGTCTGGAAGTTGATAGATCTTGTCTCGCTCATCTCTATTGTTTTGTTTACTCCCAAAACATATATAGCTCGCCATCCTATATATAAGCTATATGGCGTCGTTAATGGAATAAAGTGACATGGGATGGGAAGAAAAAGATTAAATTAGGAGGCTTCAGCAAGTCTGAGTACCAGTTCATCATGATCACTAATTCGGTGTTGACCGTTAGTCAACGATGTTGCCTGTCCAAATTAGCGGCTAATTAAGTTTATATAGTGCATAGTTGAGGCCAGGAAAGGAATTTATGAAACCACGGGCCAAAGTTGATTATTTGTATATAGTTTGGGACATAACAAGGTATTAACCCTAAATGAAATAACATAATTTAA